GGAGAGAAACAGAATTTCTGAAAGGTTTTTTATGATTTTTATTTTAATTATTGATAATATTACAGATTAAATTTCTAATTTTAGAAACAAAACAATCCAGAAATTAATTAGTCTTTTCTGTTTATATTTTTATTTATTTATTATTTTATTTTTATAAGGGAAATAAAAAAAATTAGTAATATACGCAGTATATATTGAATGATCTTGGAGTGATATATTTTATTTGTTTCGTCCTTTTCAGAGACTGTTGATATGAGATATGCTGCGTCTAGTCTTCATTTATGTGATGTTATCTCTGTCAATCCTACTGATGCCTAGTTTGGTGAAACATTGATTCTTTAGTATTATAGTATTTTCTGGTATTTGAGAGATTTAATGTTTTGTTTTTGAATCTTTTAATAATATCTTGTCAAGATTCCAAGATATTTTTCTTAGAGTTTTTTTCTCATTAACTTTGTTTCGCCAACATAGCATTATAATTAATTACTGAATTGTTTTGTTTGTGAAATTAGAAATTATTCTGTAATATTATTGTTGCTTCAGAACACGGTGGGGCATGAAAGGAGAAGAGAGATGGGAGTTCCCCTATTCGAATCTTAGCAATTTATGGTAAAACAGTTTTTAAAATTTAAAGCAATACCAATACCTTTCAAGTTAAGAAATTGGGATTTTATTGATCCCATGGCGTATTTAAATAGAAAAGAATAATATAATTGTGAAGTGTTAATATCCACAACAGATGAGGGAAAATTCAAGTTCAAAAGATTTGGAAAAATTAAAATATTTCTTTACCAAATTAATACATTATATTTTTAAATATTATTGTTTGTGAAAATTGTATTTTGACTATTGAAATTGTGAAATTTCGTTCCAACTTTTAAAGTTGTTGGACAATTAGCCCTAATTGTAGAAATTGTGATATTTTTTCTCAACCATTAAAATTATTGGGAAATTTTATAAGGTATCTTAAATAAATACTTTGGCAAAAAATAAAATATGTCTTCTTATTTGTATGTAATTTCATCTTGACCGCACACCCAACCAACTTCTACTATTCTACAGCAACAGTATTTTTACCATTAAATTTATCTCTAGGTGAATTTATAAATCTAACCAAATAATTCTATACAATATCATATTATGTAAAATCATCGCTTATTTATTTGTATACTTGCAATTGTTTTGGCCATGATAGCCAAGCATGTTAAGGTGGCATCTTAGCATTTTCTAGCCAGATTGTAATGTATTTTGTACTGGTTTCATTGTATGAATCTTGACTTTCTCAATATAGCTAGCTAGAATAGATTGTTTAGCTGAGGGATAAATTTCCTTGGCCTAGTAGCCCAGTAACCTTGTCATGAAAAGGGCGGTCTAAGTTGCATCCAATGGGGGTAAGTTTCTTTTTTTTACTTGTATGGGATGTGACTAAGACACAAAATCCAAGTTTTCGGCCTCGGCGCCTAAATACTTGATTCAATTATATTATTTAACCAAATATTGATAATTGGATTATTCTTAAATTCATGCTGATGAGGATATGGATCAGGTTGGAAATAGTCAATTGATGTTCGGTCTATTTATTATTAAATAATTATGTATGTTTAGATAAAGTGTGTAAAGTTGTGATTATCATAAAAACTATGTTTTTAGCATTTAATGAGGACGCACAGTGTGGGTTTTAATTTTGATTTATAATATACCAACACAACTGATAGCTTATATTACATTTCAACACTAGAATAGTTCCCTGACCATCATTTTGATAAGTACTAAATTGCATATCAATGAAGAACATATTTTGCTGAATTATTGGAATTTTAAATTGATTCTTCATCACCTCACAAGTAATTACCATAAATCTCTATGTAGTCTAAGTATGTTTAGTTCTTACACTATGATTTCAGTTTGAATATAAATCAATTTGTGAGCTGCTGCAGCCAACAGATCAAAATTAAGGTATTTTTTCAATGAAGTTTGTTATATGAGGTTGAATAATTAGAAGTGTTACTTTGTGGTAACATTGATAAAATAGATTTTATTTTTTTATTATAGGTAATTTCCTGGCAACCACTCAGTTAGTGGCATATTTTTTCTACTGTATATCACATCCATTGTCTTGACAGGTTATATTACACGCTGCATCTTAATGGCTTTTTTCTAAAACAGCATATAACAGCAAAAATTTGCCTTCTATTGGCCAAGAGGGTCTGGAATTGAAAATCATTTATGAGTCTTTTATGGCTGATACTAACTTATTTTATCTAAATGAAGATCACATAATGACAGTTTTTTTAAATCCTCTTTTTTTCTTTTTTCATTGTATCCAACTTTATCTGGCATTCTTTATTTTGGAAATTCAATTTTAGGCTCAGGTTCAGCGACCCCCTAAATCCTTAGGCTGTTTGTTTCAAGAAAGTTGCTATTTCAGATCTCCAAAATCTGTCTCTAAATTCTTTATTAACTACCTAGTGCTCTGAAAAAAAAAATATATTTCGATTTAGCTTAAACATTTATAAGACATCTGACCTTATGATTAGCCATTGATATTTATTTCCATGATATTTTTGTCCATACCAAGCCTGGCACATTAGATGTTCAGATTTGTCAGAATGTCTGCCATTTACATATATTATATATATCTGGAAGTATTCACAAATTAATTGAATATATTTTAATTTAAATAATTTTGATTTTATAAATTCTCACATTTTTGATTTTCTGGAAACTTGATTCATTCTGTTTATTTGTTGAACTATGCTTAAACCAAGAAAATGACTGTATTTTTCCTGTTATCATGGCAAACATTTTTTGAGTATTATATGAATAAAGTCTACTGTTCTAAACACATTTTAATATTCTCATTCAAAATTCACCTGAATATAAAGTTTGGGCTTAATATTATTTTAAAATTAAATATGTATACTTTTTAAAATTTATCTCATTAAATGTGATTTTCTTAAATTAATTTTCTCTTCCCATCTCTTAATTTTCATTGAAACATGTGTCAAACTTTTATATTCTACTACCTATAAAAAAATAAAATTGAACAATTTTTATAATTAAAAACAAAATATAAATTAATTTTTATAACTAAAAACAAAATTTAACAATTTTTATAACTAAAACAAAATTTCGAAATAGTTTCTTACTTTTTTTTATATAACAACTATTTGGAATTAGCTTGTTTAATAGTAACGGATGAATTGAACTTTTTTTATTGATTATATTCTGTTTTTCTTTTGCAGTCAATCATCTTTCATTAATAGAAAATGGCCGAGTATCATGTACGGGTTGTGGCAGAACTTACAAATCGAAGCCTAGTTTAGCAGCACATCGTCGCTACGAATGTGGCAAAGACCCTTCCTTTCACTGTCAACTTTGCCAGAGATCTTTCCACCAAAAATCCAATATGAAAAGACACTTGATATTAAAACATTATAAGTAATAAAATGTTTCTATATCATGCCATATGAAATATTATATATATGATTTTTAAATATCAAAGTGATACATATTACATCATTTGTAATACATATTATTCTTGTGAAGTGATATAGTTTTAAAGATGCTTTTGTTTTCCCCTGTCATGTAAATAAGTCAGTAAACAGTATTACTTTCAATTAAATAATTATCATTACATTTATGAAAAGAAGTATTTTTAAGAAGTTGATGTGCCATATCTAAGTCAAATATATTATTTATTATTGTAGCCTCAAGTAAATAATTTATAACAAGTTTTTTTTTTTTTACTTTTTTATATTATCTAGAATATTTTATATTTATTATTTAATTTAAATGTTATTCTGAAAATACATGTTTTTAAAAATTATTTGTATGCCTGAATGAAATTATATTTTTATCTTGTTGTGGTTTAGGATGAATTTATTTATTATCATAAATCCAAAAAGTATAGATTAAATTAACTAATGGGGAATTGATTCAGAATAAAGCACTTATATTTTTTTAATCTAGCTTGAGAATGTATCATTAAATATCAATATTCCATTGTATTAAAAATTTATATTAGAAAATTTATACTGCATTCATGGTATGATTATTTATTATCGTTTTGAGTTTTGAATGGAATTAAGAAGTGTTGATCAGTCATGGTGGGGTTAGTATGCAGTCCCTCCGTTTCTCCTAACTCCTGTCTGACTGGTCTAACAGTTCATTGAGAACCACGGTCATCATTACTTAGTTTTTATTTGAGAATCTTCTATTTCATGGCTCTTTGGAGGAGAATGGTACTTACTAAAGAAGAGCGAATCTCTGGGATGAAAATATGGTGAAATCTTAACCATTTAAGAAAAAAAAAAAACTGTTCAAGCTGAGAAAAAGATTTGTATGTGGTAGAGATGAACATTAGCAAACACCTCGCCCCAACACATTTCAATTGAATTCTATCATGGTTTCAAATAAGGTACTTTTAATCAAATTATTTTCTTGTCAATTTCTACATTGAATATTTTTTTCTTAGAATATTTCAACTTTCATTTCACACACTTATAATAACCATGCAAATGAATCATACTGCTAAGAAATTTCTAGTTTAACATTACTAATTTTACTTCTTCAATATACTGACTGTAACATGGGAGCTTTGGTCAACAGTCACTTTTTCCAAAAAAAAAAAAATATTGTATACATTCCTGAATAAAGGCTGAATTAATCTCACTAATTTTTTATTTCCAACTTTTCAGCTTTTATTTCATATTTTAATTTAATTTTAATGAACTCGAATCTACAGTATTTTTTTTTTTTTTAGTCTGAAATAGTTTGTTATAATCTTGTTTCTAGTTTACATTAAAATTAATTTGTTCTTTTAAATGTTCAAAATTCATTTTGGTTTGGTTGATAAAATAGAAGAAAGGAAATTTTTTTAAAGCATTGTGTTTATTATCAGTGTTTGTACAAACTAATTTAATCATTAATCTCTGTCAATAATTTCTAATATCTCAAAGTGAATGTAGAAATGAGGAAAATGTTTAAAATTAAGAGAAGTCGGTTAGAGTGAGCAGTCACAAATCAAAAGGTAAAAATTATAAATTATATTTATTTTTATTTTTGCCGACGTTTTGGCCCAAGGTTCAGTCCTTCATCCATGTTCTTTATCCATGCTGTGTTCTCTCTCACAAAGGACTCCTCTGCAAAACCCTAAATATAGTTTAATAAGTTTTAAGATATTTTAATGATGTTATATTATCAATCTATAAATGTTTGATGGAACTTAGAACTCTGAATAGGAGTTTCTTGTCTATTTGGAAAATTATGTATCAACCATTCCTGTGTGTAGAGAGCTTTGAGCTAAATATTATTATCACGATAAATTTCATTTTTTTTTTATATACCCATTTTTACTGTCCTACCTCTAACAGTCTGAAAATAACACCAGTAATAAATGAGAACTATTAGGAAAACAAACTGCAATAAATAAGGATATATATATATATATATACTGCATTTAAACACATAGGATATATGGATATATAGGCAATAAATATATTTAATGAATAAGAAAAATAGGTTAGCTTTTATCAAAGAGTTTAATTATTGTGAAGAAAGCTGAAAAGGAATTTGAGAGCAAAAAATGTGTCAGCTGCAATGGAAGATGGAGGCGGTAGTGTTTTTGTGACTGTTGGTATGTCTGCATTTGCAGCCAGGACTTTGGTTTTTATCAATGGAGTGATTAAGAAATATTTATTTAAAAGGAACAGAAAGGAAATTTAAAGACTGATAATGGCAAAAATGGGTACAGGACAAACATTCAAATTTGATCAGGTCAATAACCCATAGCCTGAAGCTCTCCACACACAGGAATGACTGCTATACAATTCTCCAAATGGACATGAAACTCCTACCCCAGAATCCTGATTTAAATCTTCTCTATCATTTATAAAATTAGGGAAATATCTCTAAACTAAATTGTTGGAAGAATAAGGAAAAATGCTGTCTCTATTGAATTGAATGCTGTCTCTATTGAATTCGTAATGACCTTATAAATGCTCAAATGACTTGAAATGGTACTAAAATACTGAGAACTGAGAAATATTAATTTAAAAATTTGGACTAAAATAAATAATTAATTAATATGAATGTATACGAAAACTTTTGGTGCATCGAAATCGTTATTTTATACTTAAATGTTTATTTGAAATAAATGTATTCATTATTAGGCAAATATTTTTAATAAAACTCATGGCAATGGTATTGAAGTTATACTTAGGTGTCTAAATTTAAAAAAAATATGCTGGGAAGAATTTTTTTTATTAATTTCAACCACTGTGTGTATGAAAACTTTTGTTGACAATTTTTGTTTTAGTGATTTTTGAAAAAATGTAATACATTATATCTTATTTATAATGTTAATAAAGGTTTAATTTTAAATAAATATATTAAACGAAATAAAATATTATGAATACTGAAATTTATTAAAATAGTTATTTATCACTCCTTTTAGAATGATACAACCAAATTGTACTACCAAAATTAATTTTACTAAGTATCTAGTACACCATATGAAATACTGTTTTATGAGAGCCATTGTTTAGACAAGAATGAGCTCAGTAAATTTTATTAATAATCAAAAATATGCCCCAATTATATCTAAAATGTCTTCTCTGTGAATATTTGACAGAAGAGAGGTGGTAAAGTTTTAGAATTGTTGCTTTAAATTTTACATAATATATATATACATATATACATACTGTATGTATGTTTTTTACATTTAATTTTTTTAAAACAAAATCTATTATTGATATTTTTTTTACCAACCTTTTTAACTTATAATGTATTGAAGATAAAATATATTAAAAATAAACTGATATTAGTTCTGTAAATTGTATAGATGACAGAAGATACGTATGTGATGCTTGTGGTCGATCTTATAAGAACAAGAGATCTTTAACATCCCATGAAAAGATTGAATGTGGCAAGAACCGAAGGTACTTCTGCAAATTTTGTTCCAAAGGATTTTATTACAAGAGTAAACTTAAGCATCATGTTGTACTGGTACATTTCCACTAAAAAATAAATGTTACAAATAGCAATTTTAAGAATTTAAATGTTTATTTTGATATGACTGATTATTAGCATGATTACTTTTCATCTGTAGTACTAGGCATCTTACTTTGTAAATTAATTATATTTACTGTTATTTTATTTGGGATATTGTTAAATGATAACCAATTTATTGGCTCCCAAACACTGGTTATTTATCAAAGTCCTTGAATGGTATTAGGATTGTAATATTAATTTATATCTCTTCATTCATATTAATGGCATTTCAAAGCATTGTCCTTTATCAGCTACTTATGAGATCTTTATCTTTAATTAATTTCCTGGTTATTCTAAATAAATCTATCTCTCAATTACCTCAAATTCCATTTAAGCATATATCTCATTTCTGATTCAAAACATTGCTCAATGGTTTCTACTTCTTCAACATTTCTGAGAAGATCACTCTAAACATTAAATTTACTTAACAATGTTCTATTATTATGACTATTTGGGTGCATAAAATATATTTGTTATTTCCTCCTGTATCCAGTTTTCACAATCCAAAGTCATTTATAAAATAACTAAAAAATCTCAATAATATTTTTACAGGTGGCTCAAGTTAATACTCATCCTTTCAATGGTGAAATCTGTTCATACATAGCCACCTACTCATAATCTTACTTTCTTATCTGTATCCAATAATTATCCACATGAAGTGTTTCAAATTAAAATGATCTTGTGACCATCATAACTAGAAGATTCATTGATGTTATTAAAGTTATAGCATGTAATTGTTAAACAAGTCATTTCCATATCACACTTACTTTTAGTGCTATTATATATTCTTGTTGTATTGTACGATAAACATACAATACAGAATGTCATGAAAATAATTAATTCATTGAAAAATTGTGCCTTTTTCCTATAAAAATCATTTATCTATTGGCACGTAGAACAAATTATCCTTAAGGAATACTTAAATGTCTTATTTGTTGCAGGAAATATCAATTAGAGTTCTTTATAGTTTTATATAACTCTAGAACTTGGTTAAAGAAAATAATTCTTGTTTTGATTTTTTTTTTTTTTTTTTTTTTACCTTTTTTTGTTTATCATTATCATAGAAGCTTCTGATCAAAATGCAATTTTTTTCCATTTTCATGCATGAAATCTATTTTGATCTTGATAAAATCATGGATGAAATTCATTTTGTTGTTAAAAACAAAATTCAAAGCTTTTATAACCCAGCAATAAGTAGCAATATGATTCAATATATTTCAGGTTTAAATTTGTTGCCAAAAACATTATACAATGTTGATGTGAAATGAATTATCGATTCGGAACACCTAATATATAAGTTTGTATATCATGTTGAGGAGCAACATTCAGTTTAGAAAAATTTGTTACTTTTTTAAAATTTCTAATTGTTAAAATATATTCAAATAAATTTCTAATGCTGTTTAAATTAATTGGATATGTCTTGAAAAGGAACTTAGTTACTTCTGTTATTGAGAAGTAAAGTATATCACTCTTATATTTGATTATTATTTATAAATGCTTCATTAATTTTTCTACTATTAGATTTTCTTCTGTATTTTTGATTTCAATTAAAAATATATTTATTTCTGAAGATATTTAATAAAAAAAGTTGATGTTTTTGTTGAATTAATCCATTTACATTAATATATTATATATAGGGCAAATTTTTCTTCACCTCTTTTAGTATAAAGATCGTTAGGAAGTTTGTACATGTGTCATCCTAGAAGCATCGAAGATAGGATCTTTTGTGCTTAGTCATCATAAGGATTGAGAAGCTTAGTCGTCTCATTATAGGTGTGTGCGTTTCAAGCGTTGTGCAGTGCGGTATACTAATTCAATGGCTGCTCAATTTGCTTGTTTAATGGAGACTTTAGAAATCCCACTTTAATCAGAAAATCTGTCAGAAAAATATAAAAATTTTGTCATCCTATAAAATTCAAAAGATTTGAAGTCTGACTTGCTCAACTTCTTTTGTACAATGAAGAGCCTATAATAATGGTTTCTCTTCTAATAGGAGTGAACTCTTTATCTCCTGGACTGTTTTACATATTTATAATATAAAAATATATTGTCATTATCATTACTGAAAGTAAAACTGATTTTTTAATGCTATCTGCTGAAAGTTGAGAACATACTGCCACTTCCTTGATTATCTGTCTGCAGATGTGAAAAAAGTATGGGCAACGGCCCGTGGGCTGGCTTCCGTTACTGTTGTATTATACTACTTATTGTGGTCGATAAACTTGTCATTTACTAAATAGGAAATTTGCAAATGGTGTTTATGTTCTTAGAAGAATTGGAAAGGAGAACTTATTCAGGGATGCAGTAAACGGAGGCAAAACATATTAATAAGTGAAACTTATTGTATAGACTGTGTGGTTACGTTTCAGAGCAATCTCTCGCCCTTATCTTTTGATCTCTTTGTACAGCAATAAAGAAGACCTGCAAAGTGGATTGAAATGTAGGCACACTATAAATACAATAAGTCATACTTATTACTATTTTTACTCCAGTGACCGCACCCACCAACAACTTCTTTAAATAAAAGAAAACTGCCAATGATTCAATAAAACATAATAATATTATATGAAAAATGAAATGTGACAAATATATATAAGATATATTACATTACTGTATATGATATTATATACTGGTATATCAAGTTATAAACTACATTATATAGCAAATCACTGCTCGGACCATTTTTTCTGAATTTTTGGATTCAATAAAAATATAGTGATTTAACACCTTTTCTTAACTTATTTTTTGCATGGTATGAGCTGTGTTAAAAAACTTTAATAATTAAACCAATCTATTTTGAATGGAAGAGGGATGATCATTATGATTTAATCTATCTCTACTCTATTGTTTTAGATATGGTAACCCATTTTTTACTACATTTTTTATGACTGTATTTGATCCTTGATTGGGGCGGGGTGGCCGAATAGGCCGAATAGGCTAAAGCGTGTGTAACAGCACCGCTAGTTGCCTGGCAACGGGATAACAGAGATTTGAGATGATATAAAAAGTACGAGTTCGCGTCCCGGTGCCAGAGGGGATTTTAAATTCCCCGCCCTCTCCCCCCGACCCGGGAAAATCCCGTATAGCCTAAAAGGCGAGGTAGGGAAGAACAAAAAAAAAAAAAAAAAAAAAAAAATGTTCCTTGATCAAGTGATCATGTAGAAAATATAGTGATTTTGTTTCAAGATAAGCTAACTTTATTTCTGTGCCTTCTTCTATCATCTATTTTTCTTTTAATAATATTAATACACCTCTTTAGTTAGTAAGTAATTCAATGGAGATGTGTTTATGTTACGAATATTTTGTATTCTATAATTTATCACTAATTAATAATATCTGAATTGTATAGATATAAGAAGATTTCTGTGTAACACATGTGGTCGGTCGTATAAGAACAAGAGATCCTTATCTTCACATAAGAAAATAGAATGTGGTAAGCCCCCAAGGTATTATTGTAATTTATGTCCAAGAGGATTTTTTTACAAAAGTAAACTGATGCTTCATACTGTACAACATTATCCGGTATAAAAAATTATTAATTTATTTATATATTATTCATAATTTAATACATTTTATCTTGTACATATTAATTTTAAACCCATTAAGAAAAACCTTTAAATTATTTATTTATTTTTTTTATTTTAATACAAAAGCACCTGGTATGTTTAACCTTAGAGTGAATATCTAAAATTCCATGAGCAGTAAATTCAGGGAATTCATTAAAAAAATATTTTCATTGCTGTTAAAAGATATTAAAAAATTAGCGTTACGTCCACTTGAGTAATTCAGAACAGAACTAAATCAGGAAAATTCAATTTTGTACTTGTCCTCCTCAAGGCTGAACACACTTGACATAGTTACCTCATGAACATGCAATTTATCAAATATTAAATTAATTCATTTAATTGGCAAGGACCATTTTCTGAGTTTTTTAACCTACAATATTCTAGAAAGTTGAAAAACGTGTTTTATGCTGATGTTAATTTCATTTTAGTATTTAACCTCTAATCTATTTTATACATTTATACTGTCACTTAAGTGTGAAATAATTAAATTGTAAAATGATTGTTGTTTTATGTAAATAATTATTTTTGTCAATAGTTTTTATTTATATATTTACTTTTTTATTTATTTTAATTTTTGTTTGTTACCATTTGTTCTGTTTAAATCAAGAATCATAAAAAATCATTAAAATTATTATTAATATTTATATTAAGAGTGATAAAGAACTACCAATATTATTTTTAACTTTAGTAAAAACAAATTCAATTTTGCAAATATTAAGGAATTAATATGTTTTTTTGTGTAATGGTATGAAGTTCAGATATGTATTTATTATTGATTGGGCTGGAACTGATTTATTTTCCAATGTATAAAATATCTATGTGCTATCTTGAGATAAAATATATTTATTTAAAAAAGTAAATGAAGTTATTATTTTGTATTGATATACTAAAGTAATTGTTTGAAACATTTGAAATACAGCAGTAATAAGGAAGGGTATGTTAGAGTTGTCTGTTTTTCTCTCTTTTATTTTTTTTAGTCTTTCTTGTATAAATTATTTAAACATATATACTTATTTTTCTTTGTTTTCATTCAAATGTTATGTATATGTACTTGTTTTATATTTAAATATTTGTAATATTCATAATTCTATGTTGATAATAAGTTAATGAACCTGTCTAGCATGGGACCCTAGATATAAGTTCAAAGATTTTAAATTTCTGCATGAAATAGATGAATTAATTGAAGATTCTGTTGAAGTGTTATAAGAAATTTAATGGGAATTATAGGAAACTTTTTCTCCTCTTTATATATTCTGTGATTTACTACTTGCATCATGGTAGTTTCCTTTTCTATTTGATTCCTTTTGGCTAAATATATCATCAGATTATTTTTAATAATTTACCTCATTAATTATTTTACCTTTTCTCTTTTTTATTGTTGTAATTTATGATAACATTTGTTATGTACTATTTGCATGTAATATGTATATTTTTTCTAAATAATATGCCTGTTCTGTACAGCTCAGCACTCATTAAAAGACAAGTAAAAAAACATGTGTATTGTTATATAGTTATACGTATGTATAAATTCATTTTTTTTTCATACTATTATGACTCTAATTATATATTTTAGGTGACCTTTCAAAATATCCTTGTATTAGTTGTGGACGCTCATACAGACATAAAAGTACATTGATGACCCATGTTCGTGAAGAATGTGGAAAGGAACCTACTCTACACTGCCACTTATGCACTAAATCATTTAATCGCAAGTCAAGCTATAAACGACATATGATTATGATTCATCATAATTGAGTGTTCTTTGTTTATTTTTATTCTTAGTTTATTAAATTTTGTTCCTACAAAACTTTTCTGATTATTTACTTTACATGATTAAAATAATAGTGATTAATTTTATATTTTAATGTAAAAAATTTCTTTAGATTACTGTTTTATTTGCTGTGTGGAAAAACATTATTATTAACAAACGCTTATAAAATAAATAGTGTCTTAATTTAATGAAATCAAGAAATTAGTGTAAAAAAAATATTTTTTATGACTTGGCAGATAAAATCTAAAGATAAAAATATTTGATTTGTTGTGATTACTTTGAATTGCAAACAGACCAGTTTCATATTGTCCAGTCATCAATGACAAATAAGGTCTTCTTAATTTTTAACTTTAACTTACATAAAGACGTCAAAAAATGTTGCCTCATGTAATCTGATCTTAAGCATATTTCATATTCATATAATAGCTGTTAATCATTTAATTTTGTAATTTGGGAGAATACTGGCACATCTAAAAAATTAATGATTTTCCAATTCAGTATAATATCGTCAAACAAGATGATAATAATTCACATAAGTTGGGAAAATTTTAATTTTTGAGATGTGTCGGTCTTCATGCAAACTAGAGATATGATCTATTATTTATTGAAAAAAAAAAAAAAAACTGTTGAAATATGAACCAGTAAGTTGGTTAAAAAATAAATAAAAATTGGTAATATCCTCTTTATTTTAAATTTTGCAGTTTATCCAAAGACTGTGATACATTTTTTTCATTTATTAATTTTATGATATTTTATTAAAATTATTTTTATTTTTCATTTATTCATGATATTTACAACTGTATTAAAAAATTAAATACATTAAGTAAATTTGATAACAGAAAATAATAACATGAAATGACTTGTTGAAAAACTACCCACTGGTAGCTCTAATATTAAAAAAAAAAAAAAATTAATTTGATATCTCATTTCATCATACCAAAATGTTTTGTCATTCTGTAAGTAATTATTTTTAACAAATAATTGCAACTATATTCCTTACCCTTAATTTTTGTAATATTGAATTCCTAAATACTGCAGTTTTTTCATTATTACACCACTGTTGTCTAAGATATTATTTTTTACTTATAAATCCTGTCTATTTGCCTATTATCTTAAAACTGTTGATAAAATGTAGCATATTACTAGTTCATTTTATTTAAAAAGTAAAATTATAACTTTTTGGCAATTTCTAATTTGTTATTTAAATTTCCTGTTTTATAAATTAAAAAAAAAAAATCAAATTTTTGGCTTTTTTATTTAGTTTTATTCCTATAAAATTAATAAATAAATAACGTGCTTCTCAGCTCTATGCGTTTTGATATTTATAGCTTATAACATATATGAACTTGGCGAGTCCTATAAACTTATTTACACTGTGGTCTCATGAAAAAACGTGTTAAATTTGAATTATAATGATAAGATAACTTATAACATTGTAGATTTTTAATTAATCATCGATTTAAAATTTATGTGAGACTTTCAATGTTACATTTTTATTCAGGGAGTTAAGAAATGATCTGTTGATTACAAATAATAATAAAATAAAATTTCTGTATTAGTTTTTTCTTATAGGTTGTTGTTAATTGTTTCAGGTTCCCAAGTTGAAAGATATTGGTGTTATACTTGTCATAGGTCATATAAAAACAAGTGTCATCTTTCCAGACATAAAAAAGTTGAATGTGGAAAATTGCCTTCTTTTCACTGCCAATATTGCCATAAGCGATTTTTTTATAAGCAACACATGGATCGCCATGTTCTCTTCAGGCACTAATTTTATTTTATGACTTTTTTGTTAAGTTTGTTATTTATTTCTTTATTATTGTTGGGGATGTTCACAATATACTTTAAAATAAAATAAGTGATTACTAAAAACAAATCATGTTTGCTTCTCTGCTCATCACTACATTGAAAGTGCATCTTATTTTTTTCTTTTTGTTTTTGATCTACTTATAATATATATATTATAATCAATGCAAAAATGTTTTCTTCAAGGGATTTCATTTTTTTATTATTACTAGATTAGTATATTTTTTGTTGTAACTTGTGAAAAAATTGACCTATACACTGTGATGTTAATGAATGTCCTTCAGGAATAGACCTGTTTGATTTTCGTTATTTATTTTTTTATATGATGTTATTGGATTCTTAAGCATTTCTGCCAAGTTTATTGTATCACTCTTCTTAAAATAATTTATATTTCATTTGTAATAGTCAAATTATTAATGCTTAATTACAGTATCATGATTTAATCAGGATAATGAAAAACTAATTCTAGTTATGGTTATTTATAATTTTCATTTTTCATCAATTTTGTAATACAAATAAAATATTGTTTTTTTAAATAGAAGAACGCTACTTGTGCAGTGATTGTGGAAGGTCTTATAAGAGAAAACAAGGCCTTAATCAGCATAAAAAATATGAATGCGGAAAGAAGCCAACTTTTGAATGTGAGATTTGTGGAAAATGTTTTCACCACAAATCTACTCTTAAGACTCACAGGATAACCCATCTACCCATGAAGATATAGTTATTTTTACATATATATTTAGTTACTAATAACAGTACTATTATTCAAAGGTACTTTCTTAAATTATCATATAATGTTTTTTTTACATCTTCCATTAATTTGTATGCCATCAAAACAACATTTTAAGCCCAATGGCTTATTTTCAAGTTATCTAAAATAAAAACTCTCCTTATACATTTCTTTTCTTTATTCAATTATCTCTTACTATATTTTCTGATATTCAACCGTAAAACACAGTTCATGTCATGAAACATTTTACTTTTCATTTAATAAAATGCTTGTTAATTAATTAATATACAAGATAGTACTTTCCCATTTATTGCTTAAAGTGAACTACGAAAAAGCTATAGGTGGAGACTAGAAAGAAAACTATAAAATACCAAAAATATGAATTGAGTTTTATGGTTGAATATCAGGAAAGTATTATGAAGAGAAGAATAGTTGGGGTGGTCAGTCAAAAAGGAAGGCAAAAATAAATGTTAATATTTATTTTTTACATATGCCAACGTTTCGACCTGAAGTTCAGGCCTTCATCAGGGCTAAGAAAATAACCAGATAACAAGGTATGAGAAACATAAGTAATGATGGTAAAAAAAGATAATAAAAAATAAAAAAAATAGAAAAAATAAAATAGATAAATAATAAAAACCGTTACAAAGTGTGGAATGATGAAGTAGGCATAATCAAAAAGGGTGACAAAAGTGTTACAATGTGAATCATAGAATAAAATGTAAAACATAAAAAAGAAATATGAAGTTATATAAGTAATGAAAATAAAGAGTAAAATTAAAACATTGAGAATGGAGTAGTTAGATAGAAAATTGAGATATTGTAAAGTCTATCAAGATGTACAGACAATGTATAATATAATACAGAGTTAAAAACAGAGAAAAGGAATGAAAGGAAGGAGGGAAGAAATTGAGAAAGCTGAAATAAGAAATAAATAAAAGAAATTCTACCAGTCTCCTTAAGCGTCGCAGGGAGAATAAAAGTCGTTACAAGGGAGGGGGAGAGAGAAGAGATGTGTAGGTGGCGTCATCTCAACTTTCTATCTAACTACTCCATTTTCAATGTTTTAATTTTACTATTTATTTTCATTACTTATATAACTTCATATTTCTTTTTTATGTTTTACATTTTATTCTAAGATTCGCATTGTAACACTTTTGTCACCCTTTTTGATTATGCCTACTTCATCATTCCACACTTTGTAACGGTTTTTATTATTTATCTCTTAGCTCTTAGTCATTATTCTAACAATATCATTTTACTTTATATTTATCTATTTTATTTTTTCTAATTTTTTTATTTTTTATTATCTTTTTTACCATCATTACTTATGTTTCTCATACCTTGTTATCTGGTTATTTTCTTAGCCCTGATGAAGGCCTGAACTTCAGGTCGAAACGTCGGCATATGTAAAAAATAAATATTAACATTTATTTTTGCCTTCCTTTTTAACTGACCACCCCAACTATTCTTCTCTTCATTATCCACGACAGTCAACCAATCACCAATTATGAATCAGGAAAGTATTAGATTAGTAAGAAATAATTGAATAAGGAAAGAAAATGTGAAGATTTTAGATAACTTGGTAATGAGTCAATGGAGCTTGAAAAGTTATTTTGTATTTTGTATTATTATGAATAAATGGATGATGTAAACAGGGAATATTTATTTCCTTGAAAAAACATTATATGTTATATAATTATAATAATTTTGATGCATAAAGAGAAAACGCGATGTTTTTACATTTTATCACAAAAGTGTTTAATATGTAATAGTTATTAAACAAATATTTTGGTTAAGTAATTTTTCTATTGAAAAATTATTTTAAAAATTCTATATGTAAGAGTTCTTGAATTATTAGCATAATGCAATTGGGCCTGGCACCAATAAATTTTATAGTATACATATTTTAAATATATTTTTTGAATGTATTCTGCTTCTCACCTATTCAAATGTTTCTTTTAAAAAGTCTATATCCGTAGCTGTTATTAAAAACTTGTTCAGTTTCAATAATAATTGTTTATAGTTATTATAATTACGAAAAATTTGCAATAAATAGCAAAGATTTAATGAAATGAATCGAATTTTCAGTATAAAATAAAAATATGGGAAAAAAAGTGGAAGAGATGAGTGGCCTGGTACAATAGCCATGGATGGGTGAAATAAAGCACAGACCACTTAGATGAGTGCAGTGTCCAATTCTGTGATGAGCGCAGACCATTTGCAAAAACATCATTTGTTTTTCAAATAGTAATACTATGGAAAATATATGAATCAGGCAGATAAAAAAATGGGGCAATCAAATTTATCCCATATCTTCCTATCCCGCACTTAGATTTTATGAAAATTTGCAATTTTTAATATTTTCAAGTAGCCTCTATCTGAATGTAATAGCTCAGGTTGTATTGTATTAGAACCATAAGAAGTATTGTGAAAATAATATTTAAATTCATGTTTTTAGGTCAAGTATCCAAAGTTCATGAAAAAATTATCTTAAAAAAAAGGTAGATTACTACAAAAAGATAATACTTTTAACAATTTGTAGCTTTTTAAAATTTATTTCATTCGAGTTTGAAATATTTGATTTTTTTAAATAAGTTATAACATTTTTTTAAAAATTGTTTAAGAAACTTAGTAGTATTGCTGAGCAAAAATTGTTTTTATTTTAAATTGTGAAAAAATCTTACAATCTATACTAATAAAGCAGGGTCTAAATATTTATAAGAAGCTTCTGATAAATCAAAAATAGCTATTCCGTTACTCTTAAATTTTACAATTCACGTGCTCAGTGCCAGCCTTAGACATTGTATCAAAGAGAGGAGTATTTTTTCCTTTTGGTATGCGTTATTAGCTGCATTTAAAATTCCAAAAACTTATACTACTGTTATGTTTCAAGAAACCATTTCTTATTTCTGTCATGATAATCAAAGCACAGTCATAATAAAATTATTGTGAAAAAAATTATTTTATTGTTATTAGTGTATACATGTGACTTTTCCTTTGCTCAATCTCAAAGCTATGATTAAGATTATATAAAAACTTATTAACTCAATCATGAATTTTCCTTTGTTGTTTATTTCCTCTTTTTTACAATGCTATATTTTTTTTTAAACAGAAGAACGCTTCTTGTGCGGTAATTGTGGAAGATCCTATAAGAGAAAACGAGGGCTTAATCAGCATAAAAAATATGAATGTGGAAAGGAGCCCACTTTTGAATGTGTGATTTGCGGAAAACGTTTTCATCACAAATCTACTCTTAACTCTCATCGTGTTACTCATTTATCATTAAAGATATAGTAATTTTTATAAACTGTATATTTTTTGTTGTTAATCTTTATTATGCATTAAGAAAAGGCAAATGAATAATTTATTTTCATGTAACTTTGTACAATTATTATCTTTCAATTCAACAATTACTATGTATAAAATTGTATGTTGATGTTCTATTTATCATATCAGTATTAACTGTTACACTAAATAAAATTAATATAATTTTTTTTTACAAATGGTAGGTACTTCTATTCATTCAAATGTTTAAGATAATACAATTTTTCACATGAAAATCAAGCTGCAGGATATTGGGAAGGTTGTAAAACACATGGTTTTCTGAAAAATTAATTATTTTGATTTATCAATGTTTTCATGAACACCTCTGATAGGATTTTGTATATCCATATTATTGAAATAGATGGTGCTTTGATAGAATTCTATTCAGTATATGACTAAATGTTACTTGAAAATAACGATTCTTCATAAGAGAATGGGATAAAAATTCATACATGATGTAAAAAAATTGTATTTATTATAGAACTTTTAATTGTTTTCATTAAATATGGCTTCAATATTAGGCTCTGTTGTGAAAATACATCACCAGGTCAAATGAAACAATATGAAAAACATGCTTATTCTCTAATAGTATGACAAACGCATGAAGCATTTTTCCATTTTTTTTTTCAGTCCTTGGGATGCTCAATCATTTTGTCCCAAATGACCCTTTCCGCAGCATATATTACGCTCATCGCTATGTCTATAAGGATATCATCCTCCCAGTGTGTTGTGGATTTCTTTCCACCTGGCGTGTTTCTGGACAGAAGTCTTTGGCAGTCTTTTATCCTGATAATGTGACCAATCCATTTTAGTCTCTGCAACCTGGCGAAGTTGGAGGTACTCAGATCCTGGTATTCACCATACAATTCCTCATTTCGGCATAGATGCCAAGTTTTATTGACATTGACTTTTACTGGTCCAAGAATGCGTCTCAGAATTTTTGCCTCGAAGCAATTAACCCTTTGTAGAACTCACTTTTTAAGTGTTCACTTTTCACAAGCATAAGTCGCTATTGACCTTACAAGAAATTTGTGCAGTCTTATTTTTGTAGTGTGACTTAGTAGTCTGTATCTAATAATTTTGGATATGGAAAAATATGCTCTCTTGGTTGCTGCTAATCTACATCCTATTTCAGCTTTCACCTCCATCTTTTCTGTTATTGTAAATTCCAGGCATTGGAAGCATATCATGTTTGCTTATGCACATAATTTTTGTATTCATCTTTAGCCCCGTCTTTATTTTTTGCTTCCTGTTTTATTTTACAGGCTTCCTCCAGAGAAACTTGTGATCTCGCAATAATAACGATGCCATCTGCATATAGCTAGGATTTGTCCTATTCGTAAATATTGCATTGCATGGTTCAGTCCTATCGTGCTAACAATTCTTTGCAGTATTATTTTAAATAGTAGTAGTGCCAGTGCATCACCCTGTCTTCAAACCAAATGAGTCGCTACTCTTTCTACTTCTCTGGACTTGGCAAATATTCCTTTCCATGGTCTCCTAGATAGTCCAATAAGTTTTCTAGGGTTACTTTGTCAGTATATCATTGCACAGTAAAGTTTCTCTCTAATTTCCGAATTATAAACTCAAAGACCACAAAAAGTATAAAGGGTTGCCAAATTTATACATCTTTTCACCCAGTTGTTTAATGGTAAAAATTTGATCTATAGTAGACATATTTTTACAAAAACCTACTTGATAATCACCAACTTTGCTTTCTATGTAGGGAGTATCAACCTGTTATTTAGGAAGATTTTATATGCAATATTTAAGAGACTGGTTAATCCCTCTATAATTGTTGCACTCTGTGGAATCACTTTTCTTCTCGAATACTGGGATGACTGTGGATTTCTTCCACTTTCCAGAGTATTCTTGCCATAACAGGGGCTACCAGTTGGATAGTTCAGTATTCATTTTGGGTCTCAACACATTTGGACAATTATCCCTGTATTCTTTTCTTGTTTTGCGGAGTACCATGGCTTAGGACACTTTACAATTTCTCAGTCCATTTATGATCTCTGCAATATCCTCTGCCTTCGGGAATATTTTCTCATCCTGATCACATTTGCCCCAATCATGAACAAGATTCAACTACTCACTGAAGTATCTCTCCCATTTTTCATTACTTCATCAGTTGCTGCAAGGAGCCCACCATTCTCATTCCTTATAATTGCTTTATTTAGCTTATATGTTGTTTTAAAGTCCTTGACTTTGTGGACAAATTTCCTCGTCTCTCTATTTACTCGGATTCCCGGAGGGGAGAGGGGAGGAGGAAAGATCATAATTTTTGGATTTTCACTTATATCTCGAAAACGGTGCATGGAAGGCAAAAATTTTCCTATTGTAAATTAAAGTTTATAAAATTATCTTTACTTTTATTGATTTTATTATAACACTATAACTATGCCATTTATGAGTACTGAGGAAGAAGACCTTTGTAATGGTAATGGTTCAGAATTGGAACTTGTGGTATTTTTTCAAGTCAAGATCAGAACGGAATGGAACATCAAATTGGTTCCAGGAAACCATTTCACCTTTGTTATGGTGTAATGGAAAAGCTTCGGAATTGGAACGATTAGTGTTGTTCCAAATCAAGGTTGGAATGATAATATATCATTCCGATTGAGCATGTATTGGTTTAAGGAAACAACTGCAGCTTTTCGTCTGGTTTATTTATAATAATTCTTACCGAATAAAGTGTTTACATGTGTTTTTATTTTGGGATTAAATTTGTAAGCTATAGATTGATTTAAGTAAATAAGAACTAAAAAAAGTAAAAAAAGATGTATGGATTTTATTATTTATATTTTTTTAATATATTATATGAAACTTTGTTTATTAGTAAGATTTCAATTATAGAAATTGATCCGTATTTATGAGTGACCAATTAAATGTTTCCAATCCTAATATTTACGTTTAAAATAAAGAAACCTGCTGATTACTTACAATATTTTCATGAAAATGTAAATATCAGTCTTTAGATCATTTATTTGGTCTTTTCTGCATTTAAATAAACTCCTAATATAAAGTTCTGGGTAAAAAAAAGTTTCATAATCCCTTTAGTTGATAAATATTTTTAAAAAAGACATTATTTTAAAAACAAAAATTGTATTTATGAATTTAACTTCATTATAATACATCCCAGGTAATGAAAAAAGAAAAGAAATTAAAGCTTTCCATTAATGTATTGTGGTCATTTTTGGTAAAAATTTGAGTACTTTTTTAGGTGACAGGGTTTCAAATCACCTAATTTTTTTTTTTTACATAAATTGTGGTAAATCTCATCTTATCTCAACGTAATTAATATGGACTTATAGCTTATTAAAGAAGGCCGTTTTTCTAAAAGTGGAGTGTCTGTAGCATAGATGGAGAGTGAGTAAAGGGGCCAGCATGGAACCAAGTACTTTCTCCACCTTCCAGGGTAGGGGGGAGAGGGAGGTGCCCTCCGGTTGGAACCGCTGGTGGTCTGTATACATGTTGTTCATGGTTTTAAGGGCGCTTAAAGAATTTTATGTCACAACCACATTTACAACTGGCGAATTCATCACATTTCGTAATGGATGTAGAATGTGAGACAAAGTGGATGTAGTATTCATTTATAGGTAGCATTAGATGTGACGAAGACATCATATTTTGATTATTTTTGGAAATTTTAACAAAAACATGCTTGTTTGTGAATCTCAGGCGTATGCGCCCGCCGCACTGTGGGACGAGTAAGGGAAAACTTGCTAAATCGGCTAAATCTATTTATTGTTTTTTATAACTCCAAAAACTAGATAAACTGTTTTATTGATACCTTGTGGAGTTCCCGAGAATGTTTTCAGTTGGCAGAATATACATTTTCACTGTTTTTATTGAATAGTTCAATTGAAAAAAAAATATGAGGAGTTGATCGGGGGTAGGGGTGCGGTCAAATGAATACTACATTTTATAAAATGGTATTTTTAATTAATTATTTAATTATTTTATAAAATTTAACTATTTTATAAAATTTATTATTTATTTGACCGCTCCCCCCTCCTCTTCCCCAATCAACTCCTTCTCATATTATATCACGGTCAACCATCACTACATCATTATGAAAAAATAAATACATGAATAGGTTTAACCAATGTCGCAGGTTTTCCCTTACTCGTCCCACTGTGCGTGGTGGTCCTTTGAGTAAATGAGTGAACAAGCATATATGCCCGCTGTGGTCGTTAAAAGTGTTAAACCATCAAACGTAAATATCGGTCCAGCCAGTCACTCAAAAAATCGTTACATATATACATTTTTACAATGTGTTGTCCTAAGAATTTGTCTTTGCTGTAGACTGGTAACAGTTTAATGTTGCTTAGCAGCTTATTTAGCCTACTTTGAAAACGTGTTGCATTTGCTAAAAAATTGCTGTTTTTTTTTTTAAGGCTGAAACCTCTAAAATGAGCTTATTTTGTAATTTTTTCGGAAATTGATTGAATTTGTTTTAATAGAACATTCTGTTACATCAATTAATTTTTGAAGTTTCAAAAAACTAAAGAAACTACAAAAAGTATGCTGTTTTTCAATTATTTCAAAATCATATTAAGGTGTATTCAGGTCAAAAAATTGGATTTGTAATTAGCCATTTTTGTATATTTGAAAAAAAAAATTTTCATCAGGTCGAACTCATCTCTCTCTTGTTAGATGGAAATCACTGTATGAGGAGTTTCTTTAACCACACATCTACGTGGTTTTTCCTAGATAAACATTAATTTAATAAAATTACAAAGAAATGAATGAGGAAAGTCAAATTGCAGAAATTATTAGGCCACTTATCCAGACAGCACTGTGGCATTCTCCAAAGAGGGGTCTGGACTAAAAATTTGTATTTTTCAACTTCTGAATTTAGATTAAAACAAAGTAAAGATAACATTTAATAATTACGGAATATCTATACATAATATTTTTTTAACATATATTATAAAAGGCTTCAGTAGGGTTTTATTGGTAAATTTAATATTTGATGAGGGCCAGGAAAATTATCCCTTGGTTCCTCGCCATGTCCCTGGCTTTGGTGTCAAAATATTCTCTCGAATGATATCACCTGCAGCTTTTACCATCCGTAGTCCTTTCAGGCTAAAGCCCTTTAAAAATGGAAGAATGTATATATTTTTATTGGTCCCTAATTGTTTCTGTTAGTGATCTGAGTTAAAGCATTATTATTCTCATAAAAACTGTGTTTTGGTGTCGGGTGGGGCTAGGTTTTTTTTTTATTTTACAGGTCTTCAAGGACCATTTAAACATAAAAAAAAAAAAGAAAAAAAACTGTTGGATTCACTACTGCATCAATTAAACCAATTCAGTACATTTAATATGCCATTTGTATATCGTTAACTTGAATCAATAAAATGAAAACCAATATTAAGCTACATGCTGTTAATTTTTGTTTTTCCGACATTTCTCCCACAGACCTTATTACCGTTATAATGAAATCCCGTTCCAATTCCGTAGGCCCCGATGGCATTCCTATCAAACTAATAAAATTATGTCTCCCTGAAATCCTCCCAGCACTCCTTTTCATCTACAATTTCTCCCTGCAGAATTCAATATTCCCGACCTCTTGGAAAAAAGTCATTGTCCTTCCTTTAAACAAAAAGCCTAATCCATCCTCTCCCGAAGATTTCCGCCCAATATCAATCCTTTCCAATCTTTCTAAACCCCTAGAAAGGTTAGTGCAATCCCAAGTTTCCAACTTCCTTGAACAATCCAACCAACTCGATCCTCTCCAATCTGGCTTTCGTCCTGGCTACTCTACACAATCTGCTCTGATTAAAATTACCAGTGATATTCAGACTGCAATAGATGACAAAAACCATACTGCAATAGATAACTAACCATACTTATACTTCTTGATTTCTTCAAAGCTTTCGATTCCATTACCCATTCCATCCTTTTCAACAAATTAAAATCATTATCCTTCTCCAATAGTTCCATCTCTTGGTTCCAGTCTTTCCTCTCACAACGAACCCAAGCAGTTTCCATACCTAATCAACCTCTATCTGCCTACCTTCCTTTATCCTCTGGAGTTGCACAGGGTTCAAGCATGTCTCCTCTTCTTTTCAGCTCTTATATTAATGACCTAAATGATTCAATTATCCATTGTTCCCACCATCTTTATGCCGATGATTCTCAAATCTATTTATCCTTTTCTCCCACTGAGTTATTGGTGGCATTTGCCAAAATTCAAGAAGATTTAGATCGAATTAGTGCCTGGGCCAACTTAAATGGATTAAGGCTAAATGCTGCCAAAACTCAGGCCATTCTCATTGGTTCCAAGCCCCTTCTTAGATCCCACACCAACTTTCCCTCACTCTATCTAAACAACCACCCCATCACCTTCTATCCCTTTGTTAAAAATTTAGGCTTTCTCATAGATCAAACCCTTTCCTGGAATCACCATATCTCTCATATATCCCGCCGTGCAATTTCTACCCTCAAACTATTCCATCACTTCCGCCATCTTCTACCCCAAAATACCCATAGACTCCTAGTTTCCTCTCTCATCTTTCCCCTCTTTGACTACAGCTGTGTGGTGTACGATGGCCTCTCGGTGGAACTCCCTGATAGACTCAAAAGACTTATGAATAGCTTCGTATGATTTGTAATTGGGACCCCGAGATGCTCCCGTGTCTCCCACCACTGCACTGAGTTAGGGTGGCTCTTCTCCTTCTTAAGAAGACAATATTTCCTAGACACTTTCCTTTATCAAATCATTAACGATCATCGTCCTTCTTATGCCTACAACCTTCTCCAATTTAAGTCCTCAATCCATTCCCTCACTACAAGATCCCGACCCTCTGACCTATACATCCCTTCTCATAGATCTGCCTCATTCCAAATTCCTTTATAGCCCGCTCTGTCAACTTTTGGAATTCCCTCCCAATCAAAATTCGACATGCCCCTTCCCTATACACATTCAAAAACCTCCTGTTCCAATTCCTGTTCCAAAAACAGTCAGATACCAGCTAACTATTAATATTATATATGTATTGTGTAGCAATCATATAATCATAATACTTGGTAAGAGATAGTACATGCATTTCCTACTATCGACGTCGGAATTTCAATACATACATTTTTTTTTTATTCAATTATAATTAACTGTTTATTTTTATATATATATTCATGTAAAGTTTTTTTTCTTGTTTTTTTTTTTTTTTTATGAAATGAACTCATTCTATCTCTTTTTTGTTCTTCATTTCTCAAAGTGTATGATTCTGTTGTTCAAACCTTATGTATAGTTTTGTTCATAGTTCAAGTGATTCGTTCATAGTTTTAATTGTTTTGTTCATAATTTTAAATGCTCTGTATATAGTTTTATCTGTATTGTATATAGCTTGTGCACCTAAGGTTTTCTTTACTTTTTATTTTATTTTATCAATTTTATTTATTGTTTCAAACGTTTAGGCCAGTAATATTCTATTATTTTGTACATTAGTGTTATTCTGAAGGGACTTAGTCCCAGAATAAAGTTTTTTTTCTATCTATCTATCTATCTATCTATCTATCTATAATGTTTTGTAGTTTTTGCTTGACTCCTCACCAAGCAATCAACAAAAATAACAGCAATTTTTCACTTGTTTTTTTTATTTATTCTTGTGCTAAATTTCCCTCAGTTCAGCTCAAATTATTTACTAAGATTAGATTGATTGTTAGAAAAACTTTCAAATGTCTATGAAATGTGGGTGGTAAATTCATGCTTGTGATTACTAAATGGCTTGAGCATGACAAAAAAGAGTTAAAATTTTCTTAGAAAAATTCTATTTCTGGTTTTTCAAAAATACATAATTGAGTTAAACAAATTCAATGCACAATTAATTATTTTATTAATAAAATAAAAACTTAATGTTTATCACAAGCTTTCTAAAAAAGAAATATATGAAAAAAAATGTTTTATATATTTTTATTAATACAATGATGCTAATTTCATAGAAGTTTTTAAAATAAGAATTCATTAGTATATTTGAAAATTTAAAAATAGTTACTTAAGAACAACTACAATATTACAAAAAACAAATTAAATTGAATCATTATTGAAACTAAATTAGAGAATGAAACCACAGATGCAGACACGTATACCAGTTTTTTTGTTTAATTAAGTGACTGTGATAGTCCAATTTGATCTTTATATTAAAATTTGTTAATATTTCTTACTTATTTTGCTTCTTTGTCTTTTGTCTTCTTTTTCTTATTAGCTTTTCGAATTAACTAAAGAGCTCCTAGAAAGGGAAGGGATAGATTAAAATACTAGCAAGAACTGCCCAATAATTTTATTTTAAAAAATTATAATTTTTAATAACAGTTTGAACAACACTTCAATAATTTCACACATTTTGAAATAAAGCTTATTAATACATTATAAGAAAGCCTCTATATTATTTAAATACTTCTTAGTTTCTCTTTTATTCCTGCACCTTTCACTTCTGAGAATCATTTGCCTAATGTTATTTTACATTTAATTCTCAATGAAATAATATTGTCTAATAATATTAATTCAATTTATTGGGCTTTCGATAACTTAATTTGTTAAATTTTTTATAAAAAATATGTATATGTATATCACAATATGTAGTATGTAAATAATACATTTCATCTGCAACAGGCAAGATACATTCGTTTTTTTTTTTTTTTTTTTTTTTTTTTTATTATTATCTCCTATAACTTCTTTTTTACCTAATTTTTTTTTACATTACTTATATCATTAAATCCTGATAACAAAGTATATAACTAATTACATAATTATATCTAATACCGTTTGCTACAAAAATTGCTGGCATTCTTCTTACCTAGTGACTAATATCAAATGAAGTTCAACAAAGTGAAACTTTTATAATGATACTTTGAAAAGTACCATAAGTGAGCTAAGAATCAGCCTTTCGGAACAACTGGCGGTTCAATTTTGTCTTCATTAGACATTATTTTATACACATTTAAAACATAAGAGAAGTTCTTATGAGCTTTTTAGTATTTTTTAGAATAGTTATAACATTTTATAGTTGGGTATGACATGTTTCACATAAAACATGATATTATTTTTTATGAGATAAATGTAGTATCACAAAACTATATGCAGATACATTGTAAACTAAAACTATATCAATTAAAATTTCATATTATTTAAGTATTTGATTCCACTATAAAAGTTTAGTACGAATAACAAAATAATTATTACTTATATTATAAAATAAAATTATTTGACTTTTGTTCAATAATTTTAGTATTTTCAATATACCTATTTCAACTATCTTCACAAATTATCAATGTTGATTCTATAGTGGAATGCTCAACAATTATAAAAAGCAGTTGTAATGATTAAAATTATCTAATCTCCTAAATATTAAGCTTAACTATTTTTCTAAAATAAATTAAGACTAGTTTCAGAAACATCAACCTTCTCAGAAGTAATTTTAAAAAATATGTTTATCTATTATTGTGAGGAAAACTGTATTCACCTCAAAGCCAAGATCTACATGTAACTACAGTAATATTAACTACAATAGGTGTGTCATACATTCGCAGCTATCATGCCGAGCCGATAATATTAACAATTCTACCTGTTTTGCCCATGACATACTTCATAATAATGTCTTTCTAACAGAACAGTCTTTAGATTTTTATTCTTTGATTTCTTTCCAAACCTAATTTGAATTTTATATCAATAATTAGGAATTTATGGAGTTGGATTAAATTATATTTAATGTTTAATTATTTTAAGATAACAGCAAAGGATTTATAAAAAAATTAATTGTATATCTTCAATTATATTCCTGCATAAATGTATTGATTTATATTTTTCTACTGAATTCACTCTCTGATTTCCCTTATTTTTGTTCCTAATAAATAATTAAATTCTCAGGTTATATATTTACACATTAAATAATCATGATCCATATATTTCTTTATTTAAAAAAATTAGTCACATTACCTGGCTTATAACATAATTTCATATTGTTATCACATTGTATAACTGATTATATAATATCCTAGTTATGGTAGGATTAATTTTACTGGTATAAATAACTATTATAAAATATTTTGTCGGTTCATTGCAAAATGTCATTAAGTAAGATTTCATAATATTATTGTTATTATTAATATTTTATAATATTAAATCAAAACACTTCGATGAATTTTCCTTTTGTGAAATAAGAACATTATGCACTTCTTGAAACTATTTTTGATTTAAAAAAGGGTTGGTGCAATTTTATTATATTTGTATTGTTTTTGCTTCATTTAATAACGTTGGAATTCACTAAAACGTGATCAAAAGTTTAGCTGCATCAAAAACATACTTAGTGATGTTTTGCAAGAAACCGACGATTTCCTTATAAAAGTTGTTATAAATAAATTAAATTAGAAAATTAATTAATTAATTAATTAATCAGTTCAGTAATTGGATGAATTTGTGTTAATGGGGCAAGTTAATTTGTTATCGATTGGAAATCTTGAGGAGAAATTAATTATCATCTAATTAATAATTAAAAACTTGATTTTATTTAAAGGTTAGTATTTTTCTTTTGTTGCCACTCAGTGAATTATTTTGAAATAAAATCTTGTAAGAGATCGATTCATGTAGCCAAAGTATATTTTTGGGGGGATTAAGAACAGAAAATAGTAATTTGGCATTATTGAAAATTGTCAAAATTGATATATCATGCTGCAACTTTAGGAAAGTGAAACATTAGCTAATATACCTTCTATTCAAAATGCAGTTTCATTCACACAAGCCTCATTAAAAAAAATAATAGATATATTAATAGCACATACATTAATTATTAACAGTGCTTTGTCAAATAAAAAAATATTAATTCACTGTCTAATATATTACAAAGCAGTTTTGGGAAATTCTATTTTTCTATCTAGGCCTGTAAAATGTGGAACACTTCTTCCTGTTAATAAGCAATAATGAGTATAACTTTATTTTTATATTTAAGAATCAGAAATTGAACTATATCAAATGTATTTACAGTTAAAGATATTAAATAAAGCACCATGATACCTTGTTAAGTTCTATACTACACTTGAAAAATATCCGCAGCATATTAATTTTTTTTTTAAATTGAACAGAACTGCAACTTTTATTATACATTATTTACACTAAAAAAATAAAATAATTCTAGAAAATATGGATTTAAAAGTTTGAACAATTGCTTCTTTTGCTAAATATTAATTTTGAATTATTGCTTACTAGTATTTTAGGTTGTCTAAATATGTAGCGATATAGTACTTGCTATTATTCCTCAATATTAATTAACTATGATATAATTTGTTTTGCCATTGGAATTGTTATGTTTACTATCGCATTACTGTTTAGGAAATTTAAACTATTTACAAGCATTTATCTACAAAACAATAAAAAAAAAATATATATATATATATATATATATTAAAATTACAGTAGGCTGATTAATTAAAAATAAAACAAAAATTTTAACTGCTTTCTCACCTTCTTATTACTATATATGTAATAGAAAGAGAATATTATAATAAAAATGACTGAATAAGCACTTTTTTTTTTTAAATAAAAACTATATACATTTATACTTATCTCAATCTTATAAATTTGAAAATCAATGTTTGCTAATATTCTCAAAATATCTACAGTCTGCTGTACTAATTACATTTTATAATAATTTACATGAATTACTAAGGAAGATTCCATAAATTTTTAAGGCCATAAAATGATTCTATGCACTTAAAATACTTCTTAGGCCAACCAATTTTCTAGTTGTAGTGTTGTCCTCATTATTTAAAAACAATAGTAAATACAAGTAATTAAAAATCATGATGAAATGAACTTGCAGAACAAATGTGAAATTTCTCAGCAGTCAAATTAATTATTCTTTATTGTCTATTGAAACTAGAATATGCTAAATAGAAGAAATTCTGCACACCACATCTCTCATTTTCACCTTTGTGAACAATGTTATTGTTGAACACTGAAAAAATCTTTCTTCTGGTATCTTTGAGCAAAATTGGGCATAAACAGGTTTCTCAAGCATCATTTTAAACCTTGCTCAATTGTCATTGTACATCTAAAACAAATAAAATATAAAAATTAATATCAATCATCTATTTACTTATTTTAAGTGTTGGTATATTCATAAATATATTTTTCCAAATTTATTATTATATACTTTTCTTTTTTTTAATTGGGGTACTGGCAATTGTTTGAAGTTGATATAAGTACTTGCCTGCTAGAGATTGGTGACCCTCGAACTGGGGCCAGCAAGGGCTAACCGCTAGGTTCTTGGCGAACCATCCAATGAAGCAGATGATGTGAAAGATTCTACTGAAGTGTTGACAGGCAATGAGCTCTGACGATGTGTCGTTCTTTGGGAACTTGACCATTGTTCACTAAGTGATGGTGTAGAGCCCGTCGTTCCAACTAAACAAAATAGTAACACCTAAATATTTTGCATTAATAAAAACTGTTGTAATAATAAATACTTAAAAATATGACTGCCTTATTTTAGTGCTCAGGACTCTGTTTTGACACTGAATAATAATTCAATTTCCTTGGTTAAAATTAAAATTATTTTTATTTTAAACTTGTAAAAGGTAGTCAATAAGAAAATCAGACAATAGTGTACTTAGAACTAAAGGGATCCAGTCTGAAATTAAACTTAATGTCCAATTAACCTATTAGGTATTCTTCATCGTGATGTGACAGCTCCAGCATAGAGCCTCTTCTTCCCTTCTTTTCAGCACCAAGGAGAGATGCACCTTCCTCTATGAGAAGGACTGATGCTTGAGGACTCTCTGGGGGTGTAACTCGAAATAAACCCATTAATGAACCTCTTCGGGAACCTTCAAGCGTGCCTGTTAATGCAGAAGAAAAGTTAATTTTAAATCTTCCAATTAAAATGTTCATTAATTAAATTAATGTTTCTATTAATGTTAGTTTCTAATTGACAATAATCTAAATAAACAAACAAATATATTTATGAAGATTGTGCAATAATAATATCAAATTATCTTAAACATAAAATTTATGCTTAATTGGTTACTATACCCTCAAAAAGTATTGGCTGTATATTAAATTAATTAATTAGCCGTCCTATTAACTTTTTTTATGGTAAGATACAATAAAGATTAATACACTTTTAACTTTTCGTATAGTTTTAAATTAAATTTATAACAATTATTTATTTATTAAATAAAAATACAATTTTTTCATAAAGGATTATCTTTACAATTATTTTTTTCCAATTTAAAAAAAAAATTATAAGTTATTCATACTATAAATAATGCTATTTAGTTTTTAAAATCAGTAATTAAAAAAACATTAGTTTTAGGTGGTAGTACCTAAGAATGTGGCTGAAGGAGAATTGTAAGCAAGATATTCCTTATTAGAACACCAGGGAGGAAATTCCGATTGCTTGATTGGACCTGTACTTATTTCTCCCTCATCATTCCGCTTCCATGGTAGGCACGTTTCAAGGGCTGTCGGAGTCGTAACTCGAGTGTCATCACTTGCTGTTAACAAGTTAGTACATTTAGCTATCGAATTACCCCTATTCCCAACAGCTCAGCCAGCATTAGTAATATGTATTTCATTTGATAAATCTAAATATGTAAACTTATGCTTAAATCAACAATAAAATTACTCTTAAGAATAGTTTGCTTATTTTTGTCGGTGAATAATTTAAAATTACTATGAAATTCAAAATTTGAAGTAGAATTAATGTATGTAATATGGTGATATGAATAGTGTATATGTTAATAGTGAGTTTATGGTGTTAAGCACATTTCATTTTTGTTTTAAAAAGTCAATAAATTGACATTATAATCATTTCTGTTAAACATTAATTTTATTTGAAGAATAGAAATTGAATTTTAAATTTTTCAGTCGAGCCCAATGTTAAAAACACATTAATGGGTAAACAAACAAACATCTAAACGTGCACAAACACTACAAACCCCAATTCCCCTTCAATACTTCAAAATTATTTGTCAGTTCCTTACCAGTCGAGTCCCGGGATAATTTCTTCTCTGGGCTTCCGGTTAGACCTCCCTCATCTAAAATCAATATCTTGATACAGATACAATTTAACGCAGGATAATGCAGTTCGTTTTTTTTTTTTATTTTTTTTTTTTTTTTGTGGAAACAAAAAATAAAAGGAAACTACTTCTAATGAAAAGTTTGAAACCCAAGAGCTTATAAATTCAATGATCTGCATGTTTTTGAGAAATATAATTATTTAGATAATTACTAACTTAATAAGTTTTTGATAAAAAATAATAATAATAAATTAATTTTTCATTATAACATTTATTATTATTATTATTTTTTTGCCACCAATAACTATTGTTGATAATTGACTACATCAAATATAAGTATCAGTAATTGAAAAATAATTAATAAATTTGAAGTTGATTGTTATTTTAAATTAAAGGTGCTTACAGCTAACTTTTTATTATTTTTATCTTTATTAATCATTGAATTTGACTTTTTGAGTTATAATCATAAATAATAATGGTATGGATATTGTTGACCAGAGATTTAATTTAAGGAGAAATTGGTCAGGGGTGTGGTCAAAGAAGTTACACACATAATAAGTGGGACTTATATTATTTGTTTGTGTACATTTCAACCTCCATGTCAGGCCTTCATCAGGGCTGCCCAGCTATGCTGATGAATGGGAGACAACTAACCACACCCCAAACCAACTTTTCCTTAAGATAGAAATATAAATGTAAATTTTCAAATTTCAAAGCAGATATTTCCTTCCTGTTTAATTTTTTTCTAGTTTAAAAAAAAAAGTATATTAAATGGTATATTTGTTGAAGTATTTTATTATTGCAGAATGAGATAGTTACTGGTGGCAACAGAATAAATCCTACCTAATCCAGCTGCTGAGTTATATTAACAATATAAAAGAAATAGTATGTTAATTTCTCAAAATATACTATCTTTTTATTAATAGTTACATTAATGAAAGCACAAACAATTAGCATTATTTCTTATGAATATAAAAAAGTTTATTAAGTTTGCTTAATTTATTAAAATAAATTTAAACTTTCAATTTCCATGATTTGACTTACTTGTATTCCAACACCACCAGCTAGTTGACGGTCGTTCACACTGCTTTTTCATTTTAACATGCATCGCTAAGAAGATAGAAAAGCGATTAACAGCAAAATTAAAGTAGCTCTCAGCTCAAGCCATGCTTTTGTGAAACCTATCATGCTTGCATTTTTGTTTAATGTTTCATTTAATAAAAAATATTTATTTGTAATGTACAATTTAAGTGTTACTTCATTATGGCTAGGCTACAACTGCTCAAAGTATGATACATTTTAAGCAAATAAAATAAATTTATAGATAACATTTTAAATGTAGTAATTTGAATTATTATATATTTGCTAAATAGTATTCTGAATAAATAAACTATCAAATAAAATTGTGCATACGACTTTTATTGAATTTGTATGTAATAGATACAATCAACTGTGAAGTATTAATTTATGAAATTTATAATTCATGCTACATATGTTGTATAGAGTTGTAATGTTTCTATACATTCTTAATTCTACAATATAAATCAGTGAATTATTGAAAACCTGGAACTCAACCTAGCAATTGTAGGATTTAATGTAATCTAATGGATACATGCCTACTGTGTTCAGATTTTTTTTTAAATTTAATAAAATGTTAGTAGATGTATGGGTGTATATATATATACACACACACACACACACACACATACTTCCACACACAAACAAAAACACACATTCAGTAGTATAATAGTTTCAATAATGTATGACATTAGTATTTGTATTGTTTAATGCATTGTTTTGTGTGTTGATCTCTCCTCTAGTCCAGCCAACTATATTTGACATATAAAGCTATGATTACAATAATAACAACTGTACCTGTCAGCCAATACAGCATCATGCAGTGTTACCATTTCTGTGATTTTATCTTCCCATTTCCAATGCTAACCCCCATCAATGTTAAATATTTGAACATTAGATTAATATGAATTTAAAAATTAGTCTAAATTATTTAAATGTTATTGTGTTAATTTAAAAATAATTGAGAAATTTAATATGAATCTCATATTAAAATTTCAATTAAATTAATCAATAGTGAACTTAAAAAATAACAAATTTAACACTTTCATTAGTGTAAATAGATATATAACATGTTTAGATTCTGGAAAGGCGAGCAGCCCCTGAAAACTGAAAAATTAAATAAATATAATTATACCAGTAGAGATTGTGTTTATATAATAAAATAAAATTAGAGCTTGACATCTAAGTCGTTATCAAGTTGCTACAAAATTTTAATTATTATTTATTTTTGTTTTTATATCTTTCTTCTGTATTGAAATAGTGCTTTGAACTTGGAAGATGATATTGAAAATCAGATTAAGTAATTGCTTTCACCCAAACCTAAGCAAAAGTGCATCAATCCATAATGTGCAGAAAATGTGAAGGTTAGCGTTGGAAAGGGACAGATGATGTGCAATTTTTTGACATTTTGATTACCATCGCGCCGCCAAGGTAACGATGTCTCTGCTAAGGTGGGTACATCCTGGTAATCACCACTCCTGGGCCTGTACTGCTTGACCAGACGGCCTCTTTTCAGGCCTGGCAACGAGACGAGCTGCGAGAGTAGCCCTGGGACACCATCCTCTGCTTCCTCATCGGCTGCATAGATCACACACACTACTTGGTAAGACACAATCATGGCCTCCCACCTACTTCATTACTTCTCTCATTCTGATGATATTTAACCGATGTCATTATATTTTTAGTCAAGATTTGTTAATTCATCAGTTATTTACATACATATTGTTAATTGGTTAGAAAAAAAGAAAAGACTAATTATAACACCACGAAAGAGTATTCATTTCTATTCACCATAATAAGAATATGGGCAATCTTATTCAGATTTTATAATGTACAATTGTATTATTTATTAATTTTATTTTTTAATTTAATAAAACTATTATATTTAAATTTTTAAAACAATCTTTTCATTTTAATCTTAAAGCATTATTATTATTTTTTAAACTTTTAATACATAATAGAAGTAAAAAAATTCTAAGATATTATTGTCTACTAATATTAAATGTGACAATAATTTTAGCATTTGTTGCTTTTTTTGTTCAGAATATGTTGAAAATAATTACTTTGCATTATTTATTTTCCTTTTACAATGCTAAATTCACTATGTTTATTAACTGGATAAATATTTTTTTCAGTGTCCTGGCAGCGATCACATTCATGTTACTGTTGTAACCGAACTTATAAAAGCAAGAGTGCACTCAATAAACATATTAGATTTGTTTGTGGAAAATCTCCAACTTTTTTCTGTGATGTTTGCTGTAAATTTTTTTATCACAAGGATCATTTGAAACGTCATAAAGTGTTAGCACACTTTAAAAAGTGAAATCATTTTTATTTTTATTCTGTCAATAATTAGGCATGAAACTACTTATGATTATTTCATTCACCTAAAATTTTTAAATAAATGATTATGCATAACTAACATTGTTGTATTCATTGTAATCCTTTTGTCATTAATGTACATTTTTGTAAATGAGCCATTAATTAAGATTATTCCAGAGCCAATCATCTTAGTGCAGCATAAAATAAATACAACAATGTTATAATAGCATTCTAATATTTCCCGATTCTCAAGATTATTTATTATTTATTAGTTTATTTCTAATAATATCGTTGTTATGCTCACTTTTTCATGTACCTAACATTGGCAGGTGTAATGTGTGATGGTCATTAGTGTAATCTACGAGTATAATTGAATGTGGAATATAATTTATTTTAATTTTATTTAAATTAGTACAAAAAGTTGTTTCCAACCAACATTGTTACATTAGTTGAAATAAAATGCCTTTTATTGTTTTTCTCTTAGATTATAAATTAAGTCATCATCTCCACTCCAGATCCCTGATTAACAGCGACTGTTAATTATAAAGTTATTAATTTTATTATGAGTCAAATGAAAATAAATTATATATTATTTAAAGTGGATTTGGAATATTTGTACTATTTTTAAAAAAATTCCTTTTTATTTATTAGTTGTAGCATTAAAAAAAGAGATTGAAAAAGAAATTAGAAATAAGGATTTATGTTGATTTGCAGGCCACTCTTTTATAAACTGTTCATTTATGTAATTTTCAGATAATTCAAAGAAGCAGTACTCTTGCTGTACTTGTATGAGGACGTATAAGAATAAAAGTTCGCTTTGTAGGCATACCAGATTTGAGTGTGGAAAACAACCAACTTTCCGATGTGATGTTTGTTGGAAAAAATTCTACCATAAAGACCATTTAAGACGTCATGCATTTTTCAAGCATTCCACACCTATGCATAAGTGTGCAACTTCTGCAGAAATTAGTAAAATATTGCGTGAATATAGTTAAATGGCTTGATCTCAAAATACTGCATAGTTATACTTAAGTATATAAATGATTAGTATTCGTAAGTAGTATTTTAATGAATGATTGGCTAAATAACATTTTTTAGTGTTTGAAGATGGACATAAATCTAGTAGATATAGAGATGAAAAATAAAAATTAACTCTCACTAAATAAGTTAATGAAATGTAGCTAAATAAAATAAGTTGTAAACATGTTATAAAACCTTCACTGCAGGCTTTCAAATCCTAATATTATAACAACCATTGGGTTATAAAATTAATTATTTATAGAAAACCTATAACATAATGAAGACCACTGGTGACTACTCAACATTTCATAATGTTGGAGCTATTGTAAAAAATAAAGATAATAAGCAAACAAAAGTTGTTTCTTTCATTCTAAATCCACAATCCCAAACTGTTCCATTTTAGCATATAAGAAGAATAAGTAAAATGTACTTAGTAATAATTATATCAAAAACAAGAACAAGAACATGATTAATAATAATTTTTTTAATTATTGTCAAAATAAGCTGGAATAATTTTAGGAAAATTCCTATTTTCTTTTTTTTTTGCTTGTAAAAATAAATTTTGATTTATCATTGACAAACTGTTTGATTTTTTCATTGACAATAAAAATAATTTTTAAAAAAATTAATTATTTTTTCTTTACTTTCCTATGTCTTTACTTCCTTTACAGACTCAAAATAAAAAGAAACTCTTGTGAGATGGTCTACATGCCATAAATTCTCTGTTATCCAAAAACATACATGGGATCAACTAATTGCCTTAGTTTATTAAATTTAAAAAAATCAATCAGAATTTTTTTTTATATTAACCTATACCCTTAGAACATTTATAGTATTCATTTATACATACACTTATACCTATATAATTTAAATACTAAATTATTCATTAGGACACATAAAATGTCAATAAAATAGGAGTAAAAAGTATGATACATATATTCTCTACTTATAGATGATAGATAGATGGATGCACCAATTATATAAAAGCTGGATCAGAAAATTTCTGTTGAGCTATAGAGTAAATTCTTAAGAGTGGTATATATTCTCTTTAACAAGCTCAATAAATCAGGACTGACTTTATTAATAGTGCGGTAATCAGCATCTTTAATATAAACCATGAAGAGCCAAGTTCGATTCCCTGAAAACCATTGGGTCTATTGCAAAAGATTTAGGTGAGAAATGGTTCTATTCAGTGAAAACTTAAAGTTCAATCATTCCAAAAAAGATAGTCTAAAGTCAATCCCCCATTACTTCCTCTATTTGAAAAAGGTTAAAAGTGTGAGGTTTAATTAATTTTAGAAGAGTAAATATGCATTCATTATTTGTTTGTTGCATAAGCGAAGTCTAATGTCCTTGAGTAGAGTTTGCTGTCAGGTTTTTATGGAACTAATATAAAATAAATTAAATTAAAATTTTTTTCTCTTTTTTTCCCATTATAATGGTAGAAAAAGGTGTTTTGTGACAAAGAAAACTCTAAAATATTGATTAGACTAAACTAATAGATGAACATTCAATGATCAGATGAGGCATAACTAGAACAATTGTATTAAGTCAGACCTAGCTTAATTGAGTTTTGCTAGTGGAGGTATATAATATCAGCATTAAATCTTCGCTGAACTTTAATTTTTTTTTATAGTAGCTCATAAAACATCTTTGAATACATTTTTTGGATTTCTTATTGAATGAAATAATTCGATTAATTAAGCAGAAAAATATAAACTTATTCAAAAGAAAATCTCTAAAATGCATGAGTGCTTTAGTACTTTTCAACTTGACATTAACTTCATAAATTGTTTCTTTTGTTTACAGGATTTGAAGAAAGATATTTTTGTTCGATTTGTCTGAGATCTTATAAAAACAAACGACACTTGTATAGGCACACGAAATATGAATGTGGAAAACTACCAGCATTCCCTTGTCAGTATTGTGAAAAGGCTTTTTACCATAAGCATCAGTTAAAAATGCATGCCCTGATGAAACATTTTGCTGGAGCACAGATTATCAAATAAATGATAAGGATTTGACTGACATATCTGTCTGTACTCCTCAAGTAAAATGAAATAGACATACTGAATTCTTATTATTATATTAGTAAATAAATTGAGCCATCAAATTTATTATAAAATTATAGCTTTGCCGCCACTAGTCATACGAGCTCAGAATTGTTACCTAACATTATTTGTAAGTATTTATTTATTTTTTCCTATATTAAAAATTCCTTATTATTTTCAGAAACAAAATGAAATGTATAAATCGTTTAAAAAAAACAAAAACAAAAGCTGATATCTATCGGTATCTTGTAAAAGAAAATTATTTAATTTTGAAAAATAAAAAAGGTATTTATCAAAAATTTAGTTTTATTTTATTAGCCCATAAGTGAGGGTATATTGTTTGTCAAAAAATATACAAATAAAAAATAAAAAGTATTGCATGCTTATTTCTTATAGCAAGCTTATGTAATGACCTTTTCTTTTCAGGAAGATTCTCCTGCTCTTCATGTGATCGATCTTATAAAAATAAAAAGAGTCTCAGTCGGCATGAAAAATATGAGTGTGGAAAATCCCCTTCCTTAAAATGTTATTTATGTATTAAATCATTTCGTTACAAACATGATTTAAAACTACACTTGGTAAATAAACATGCACCTTCAGTTTTAAACATACATCTTTAATGACACAAATAATGAGATCGTATAGAAACAAATTATACACTTTTACAGTAATTTAAATTTATCTTGTGATTTATTAATCACATTTTAATGTATGTAATAAGGAATAAAAGAAGATAATTGAATAAAATTGATGTTACTTAGAAGATACATAATTCTTCCTCTGGAGAGTAACTAATTACTTATCAATGAATTTATTTAATTAAACATCTTTTTACAAGCATAAACAATATGAAAGTGGGAACTCATCAGCATTCCATTATCAATATTGTGAAAAGGCTTTTTACCACAACCATTATTTAAAAATTCGGATTATCGAAGACATAAGTTGTTTTTTTCATGACCTATTTGTACTTCCTAAATAAAATGGTATTAACCCACTGCTCTGCTTTTAATATATTGATCCATTAAATCTATTATTAAATTATAGCTTTGCAGCTATGGACTAGTCATGCGAGTTCAAAATTGTTACCTGTAATTTTATTTATTAATTAAGAGTGTCTATCTATTTTTATTTCGTAATATTGCTAGAAAGAAAATAATAAATGTAAGAAATAGTATTCAAAACATATAAATATTAACTTGTATTTATTTGGTTTCCATAAAAA